GCAATTTTGTACCACCTGAATAACTAGCCTGTAGGCCATTTCTAATTTGCCCCCATGCTCCTTTTGCAATACCAGGTTAAAAAAAGTGATTTTGATTTTCATGAAAAGCTATTTATTAAAAGTGACTGTTCTCGATATTGGTTTTTTGCAATGAAATTGTGGAATTTTTTTCATTGTGAAGTCGCACATTCTGATTTATTAGGGGTTATTGAATTTTGTTAATGTTTTTTTTTTTTTTAAGGGCACATTATATGCCTTGTCGACAGTATTAACAGTTTGTTTAGTCATCAGGTTTGGGTTAGGCAAATTGAAAAGGGTCCCATACGACTTGGTGTTATTTAAACACCTCTGGAATGCAACAAGCTCATAGCGTTTGTTGAACTGGGTCCATTTCTGTATGTCCCCTTATTTCAGGTTGCTGATAGCAGAGATTATGTATTACTTAAAATGTTTGGTCCTTTGCTTAGTATAGGTAATAGCATGATTTGTAGTGATATTTGGCATAAATACCACGAGCGATATTTCGAAATTGTTATACGTAATTTCACGAGCCGTTAGGCGAGTGAAATTTGAGACAATTTTGAAATATCACGAGTGGTATTTATGCCAAATTTCATGTACAAATCATGCTAGGATTTGTTTATACTTCTGCCCTCAAAGGTTTTGTAATTTTCACATGTAGGTATTTCAAATTTAGCTGAAATACCACTGCTCTAAGCCAATCAAATTGCAGAAATTCTTCATGTAGTAGTATAATAATAATAATAGTGCTATGATTTTACATCTTACAGTTGGCTGGTACGATTGATATGAACCAACAGAGTGACATAATGGCAGAGTTTGAAGGAACAATGAGTTAAAGCCTGGAAGCAGAATCAATTGTATAAATATTCAGAAAAGCAGGTTACAGGGGAACTTAGCACCGCAATGGTTCAAGGATACAGAAACCTTACCGGCACACTTCATATGTTGCTGATGCTAATAACAAACCATAATGCAGTGGATACAAGTAAAGAAATAATCCATTAGTTGACACATGTATTGATAAAGAACATGACATTCAGGAGTTGGAAGAAAAATGAACAATTTTTATCTTATTTATAGCTTTTATAATTATGTTGGTGATTAAGATAATCCTAACAAGACTACTGAAAAACAATAGCAGACATTAAACTGCTAGATATAAAACAAAACAAAAAAAATTTATAATGATTTAAGTCGGGTTTATTTCAAACAAAATAAACCTAAAATAGTCCATTTGGAGATCAGAACTATATGGAATTATTCAAGATAGATCACCATTAAACATTTTTCTTACTAACATAATTTAAATTCTGCTAGAGATGACTGTTTTCTTTGGTTTCGGCAAAAATTACTTTTGTATTAAAGAATTTGATAGTCTTCTGATCATCTTGCAACAAGAAGGTTTACTGATGAATTTACAATAACGACAGCTGGTTTATCAATCACCCTTTTTGCTTATCCCTCATTCTAAGAATTCATATTATAAAAATATTGGACAACAGCAACAAAAAAATACACTTAAGTACAGTTAATCCCCGTTTATCGTTTCATTCCCACTCCAACTTAGAGCAAGATGATTTCTCACACTTAAGATGAATGTTGCACTGTAACCATTCAAATGAAACCTCTTTGGTAGAACTTTTGAATAGTACTATTTATTTCTTGAGATTTAAAAAATGTAGTAATTCGAACTTTTTTATGTGACTTCTCGCTTTAGCCACTGTTATTAGTGAAAAAGTTGTGACATCCCAAAAGTCATGAAAATAATACTGGTTGTATTGGCGAGGTGGTTAGATTTTTTCTCACCATGGGTTTTTGAGAGGTAGAATTCCTTTATACTGCTGAGGTTTCATTTTTGTATAATGTCATAGGATAGGATTTTGTCATTAGACTCAAAACATTTCTTCACAGGTATTTGTACTCTAGGAGTAAAGGCTTAAGAAGTTTTTAAGGTTTGGTGCATTACTACAGAGAACGATCTGTATTATCCTCATGGATGCACGTTCAATTTAAGTTGATAAGACACAATCTTGTGTTTCCAATCTTTCCGTATTTTGCAAATAACAGTTGCAATCTTCATATAATACCTGTTACATGTTTGTAAGTTGTGGTTTGACCAAATTCTTTTGCTTACAAATCCTTAAGGTTTTCAAATACATTCAAAATTGCAGGATTGCAAAAATCATCTTTTAACTTAACAGCTGTTACTAGTTTTTTGAATGTGAAGTCTAGCTGGGAAATTCAGTCATTTTCAACCCCTCCCTAAACAGTCTTGCTGGAAAAAAAATACTGTTCCGTTCAGTGTGAGAAGCTACAATATGTAGATATGAAGCTCGCAGATTGTAACAACAGACTAAAGGAAAAAATGGTTAGAAGCAAAAATAACACATACATACAAACAAAATTCTTATAGTGAAGTAATGTCATTTGACCGCCCCAAAAATGTTTTTTCAAAAAATTAATAATATTGCGTATGATTATGAAGGGTTTCATTTCATTGGCTGGTACGCTTATAATGTTAACTACAAGTTGAAGAAACTAACAAAAAAATTAAAAAGGACAAAATAAAGAATAAAAAATGCTCTAACTTAGTGCCTTGAACTTTATATTGTACATCTTTCACTGAAACTGACCAACAGAAATCCACCCCGGCCCCAAAGTATGTGAGATGAGATATAAATATATTACTGTGCCCACTGTTTGATGAAGCAGCAAACTTGAATGAATGCTCTTTCTTGTGGCTTGTCACGCGATTTTCACATGATGTAGGAAAAACAGCCTGGGGATCCAGGGTTGTACCTAGAAATGAAGATTATGTCATCATGATTCAAAAAATGAAACCTGCCAGATTCTTGGTGTTGGAGATAGTGTGATCATCACATGTTAAATATGGAAGGAGACAGTGAACAGCATCCTTTACATAGAAAAGCAGCTAAAAATGGGAACTCTGGAAAAGAAGAGTGAAATCTTTGTGACTTTTGAAACAAAAACCTCATTGACTAAGTTCCTGGCAAACCGGCATGGTTTGTACAGAATCTGGGAACTGGTTTACAGAGTTTCCATCTTTGAAAACAAGGTATTTTTGAGCTGTAACAAGTGCTTGCCAGTGATAATGCTGTTCACAAAAAATTGAATACTTTGATTTGCAATTTCCTTCTGGGCAATGTAAGATGGTCACTCACAGTGTTTTTTTTTTATTTGTTTTGTCCTGTCAATGACATTCTGAGTCAACATTACTGAGCATTAGCAGTTTATCTCTGTGATCTTAAAATATGAATTACTCACTTCAAAGTATTCATTCCTGCTGGATACTTGCCCATCAACCTTTCCAAGTATGAGGAATTGATATCATTTTGGCCAGATCATCAATGGAAAGTCTGGGTTGACACTGGCCAGAGCACAAGAGCATTTCAAGGGATCTAACCATCATCCATGGAAAACCACTTGACCATGTTCACCATAAAAAGCCTGTCTGTTAATATCACTTATGACAAACGTTACAAGGACGGAATACCTTTAACTGTCATTAGTTATGTAATGGTTGTGTGTATAACAACCGTAAATGCTATGTTTCATTATTAAATAATATTGATACTTCAAAAAAATACCTTATGCTCCGAACAGAAAGTGGGACTGTCTTGTTTATCTGCTGTTTTGACTTCTGTGACTCAAAACAAAACTGGGATCACTGTGAAGCTAATACAAACTATTTCAAGATTTATTTATTAATAGTAATCCTCAAATACTGTTATTGGCAAAGCTTATCACAACTTACATATCAGCTGGTTAAACAGTTACTGATACTGTGCCCCTATTTCATTGCTGTAATATTGTGTTATCTCCTGGATGGGATGGAGATATCTCCAGTGAAGACTCAACCCCTTGAACACGACTTTTGGGCAGTCTGGGCACATGAAGGAAGAATGAATACCAAATATAGCGAAGAGAAATGTTTCAAGGTCATTGGGCCAATTTTTTTTAATAGTTTTACAAGCTTAGTGTACAGAAACCCATATGTACATAGAAGTAACACATAAAGTAACCTGTCTTGGCTCACAGTCACGTTTTGCAAAAATTTTATATATAAATAACATTATGTGATGCATGGTTGAGGAATACCTTTTCACAGTTTTCATCTTGGACAAATTAATTTACAAAATAGTTGCAATTTTTTATACATGTGTAAACAACAATGAAATACCAGGTGAGCTTTCGTGTGAAGACCTGATGTTCATAATTTTTATGTGAAAATAACATGTTATCTTCACACGTGAAAGATCACCATTGCTATGGCTACAAAATAAATCGTGCCTTTCACAACAAAAAGCTATTAAAGTGAAATGGTTTGGTATTTCATTGGTGTTTATATGGTAAGTGGAACATTACATGGCTGCTTGGAGATACAAAATTTCTCTTCTCGTGTTGAAGAAATATTACACTCATTTGCTGTGCTCATTCGTGAAAAACAACACTCAAAGAGAAATTTCGTATTTCTGAGAGGCAATGTACTATCCTCTATGTCTATATATTTTTTTCTTATATTAATATCACTTTGTCATTAAATAAAGCTCACCGAAAATCTAGAACTATTTGACAAGGAAACTGAAAATTATGAATCAAACTTTAAGTCGAGAAGGGCAGGAGAGATTTTGGTTATGAGCAGGATCTATTTACACTTTCTTACAGATTCTTTGACACAGGAATGGACAGAAAAGGCAACATTGTTGCTTTTTTTTTCAAGATGGTATTAAACAAAGGATCTTACAGTCAAGAACATCCAAATGGGTCAGATTATAGGACCATACAGAAATCTTATTTTCACAAAAAAGACCTGTTTGCTAAAAAACTTAATGAGAAATGGAATAATTAGTCCTGTTACTATAACAATGTTCACTTTTTCTGTTCATGTACTACAAAAATTAATGAAAGTACACTGTTATTTTTTTAATTAAATAATAATAATCAACTGTTCTGCTTTAAGGACTGAAGTCACCAATTTCTTGAATTCCCTCACTCTCTGTAACCAGTGCTCTTTCCAGAATAACTTGACCTTCCTACAAGCAAAAGTCGAGTAAAGTCAATTCTTATTTTAAACTCACATAGAATATTAATTAATACAAATCAGTGCTTTTAAGTATAAAAATAATAGATTGTGAAGAAGGAAAAAAAAATTTTCAGTTTTAGGTTCATTGAACAGACTTTGGGACACATAAATGGTTTGTAGAACTAAAAATATTTTGTATGAAATAAGTTATCTAATAACTAATAGTCTAACAAAACAACAACAAAAGCTTTTGTGAAGGAAACTGTGATTCATGTTGCCCCCAAAACTAACTGGCAAAGTAAATGACCTCAGAAAAGCCATTATTTATTATTATATTTAGTATTATTATCATAATAATAATTATTATTATTACTATTATTATTTTTATTCTTATTATTATTATCATGGTCTACCACCTCAAGGCCAGCCAGAATGCCCCAAAAAACCCCTCTTAACAAACATAACTAACTGATTTAGCAATTACTCCTGCTTTAACATTTACTCACACTTCTCATTAAAAAAAACAAGAAATGGGAAAACTTGTCCCCCTCTATCATAAAAAACATTTTGTACCCCACAGTGGAAAACAGTCCCAATTTTTTGCCCCTATATAATTGCACCTCTTTACGAAGCAGAAACCTTTCCATTGCACCCTCAAGGGGAAGGCAAACTTTTTTTTCTAGTCCAACCTCCCCATCCACCAGACACCCGGCCCTGCTGATAAATAATGAACACTCCCTAACAGTACCACAGGTAGGTATGGTTGTCCTGCTTTATTGCAGTGATTTTCTTATAAACAGTTATGGTGAGTTATCTTGTGAAAAATCATGAGTCCCAGTTAAAAAAAAAAAACGAGTCTAAAGTTGAAAGTATTTGGGCCTTTATGTTAATCTGAAGACAGACTCCAAAACTCTGTATTACAGTATGCTGAAATAAAATGTAGTCCTTCTATTTTAACGCACAACAAAGGCTAAATAAAATAATTAGCATCATTAAACAACAGCCATATAACTGCCACAGAAATTACACAAATGGGCTGGATATTTTTACAATACACACGGATGTTTAGATCAATGGATTGATCTTTGTGTCCTAAGGGATGCATGCCATGAACTATTTTGTGTCTTTGAGGATTCTTATGTGTCACGGATGCAAGATGCAGAGGTAACAGAATTGCTGTCATTGTAAAAAAACACTGGTCAAAACGACAGTATAAATATATTATATGTTATTATGGCAAATACCTTATACTGTTGGCTCTCTTCAGTTGCATATTCCTGTCAGAAAAAAAAAATTCATGACCAACAAAAAATCTCTGAACAGTGGGATTCTGACATTTGAAGAAATATACAGAAGTATAAATATTACATGTTGAAAAGGAAATAATTATGTCACAAATAATTATTTTTTGCCCTTTATAACACTGACAAATTAAATATAAAATTACTAATATATATGTTATCAAAGTTCATTATTACACTTACATACATCCACCCAAGCTTTGTTTCACAATTTTTGCAGAAAACATCTCTGACCATGTGCCTTCCAGTGAGCTACAGAACGGCAAAAAATGTTTTTACTTTAAATTACGTCAATTTCAAGAAAAGAAGAAAGTCACATACATTTCTGCATTTCCACTAGGCACATTAACTTTCACATGAACCTAATTCTCAAGACAATCACAACTCCTGAGGTTATTAATTTTTTTAATTCAAGCAACCATGATTAACTTTCAAGCACCGTGAATAATAATTATTAAGTTTATGCACCTCAAATTTTAATCTTTATTGGTTAACCCTTCAACCCAGTACCCCATGGTTTTTGACCGCTGGCTTCAAGAGATAACAGTAACTGCAATAATTAAAAGTATTTATTCTGCCCTGTCACCAAGTTAAGGAACTAGCTTTCATCAGGTTCCCTAACTTTGGCGACACCTGGGCAGAAACGTGTAAAAAATTTTCACTGTCTATTTGTTAGGGATTTTTCTGGAAAGGAAGAGTTTTTCACATACCATAACTCTGTCTTGAACTTCACTGTATGATAAGTTCACCCTAGAATATAATACATTAAAGCACCTGGGTAAGATGTTATTGAATGTTTTGCCAGGTTTCTGTTAAAAACAAGGCATTTTACTAGATGCACATAACTCACACTTTCTTAAACAGAAATGCTCTTCCTGTGGCTCCATTGAACCTCTAAAGATTGAATCAAAACCAAAAACAACCAAGTAAAAATTTGTACAACTTTTCAATAGCATTAGGACTAGTATAGTATAGTAGAGCGATGCCACAAAATATGTTATAAAACTTGTAGATTAATTAGTCACTTAAAGCCCAACCTCTTTTACAACCAAAAAAGGAACCTGGATCAAAATTTTACCCTGTGTTAGTAATAAAACCTGCCTTTGAAGTTAGCCTGGGACCAGGATCCTCTTAAGGTTAATAACAGGTATAAAAAATTGAAAGCAATTGGGAAGGGGAAGGGCAGTGGGACCTGGAGACATGCCTTTGATGCTGCCAATCCATGATACCAGATACTGGTAACATGCTCGGATTGGTCAAATGTCTTAACATTGACAGATTTGCTGTATTGTTGACATTTGTCCCTTGATCCTTGCCAGGATGACCCCTTTGCCTTTTCAGCAGTTGCACATGGGACAATTTCTCCTGAAACATCTTTTTGATGACTTGATTGACTTTTCAGTGATAGGTAAATTACTGGAGGGTGGATCAGTGGTATCAATAATAGGAGACCTTAAGCAAAGGCGTTTTTGAGCAAATATGCACATCAAGCATAAGTGAGGCCTTTTTCTTTTACTGCGCCTTAATGCTACCAGGTGTCTTACTAAGTGTCTTCACTCTCACAGAGACGACATTTTTGAGTGAAGGACGTTAACCACAAGTGTACTTTGTGCAATCTTGCATGGGCAATGTTTTTGCCCAAATTTTTGTGCATATCATTTCCTTACGTTCCTTAATGCATCCAGGATCCACTGCCCCTTTCCCTTCTCAATTCCTGTTATTCGCCCATTTCCCCACTAAGGAGAATGGTCTCAGGCTGGGTTGGCAAATATTTTAATTAAAAAAAAAACTGTTTGAGGTTCCACACACAGCCATAAATATCTTAGGCCCCCCTCTCCTTAAACTCGATACCAGCAAATTATTTACCTAAAGTATTTTGAAGAACCACAAAAGTTAATTTAAGATCGTTTTTTATATGTTTCACTTTGTGCAAATATTGTTGGCCACAATATTCCATCTCCCTTCGAGGACTTCCAGTATTGAATTCCAGTTTATTTTGAATTATAATCATGGCCGCGCTTTCAAAAGTACCGCAGTAAGTGAGGCATTGATAATAATAATCACGACGCAACAATAACATTGAAATGTACCAACTAAGACACATGGAATTAAATTAAGTCTTAATGCAAATCATAAACTTAGCTGACAATTTTCGATTAACTATATACAGAGCCTACCTTTACGCGTACGACAAATAAAGTCACCTTTATTTCATATGAAGCTGTCGACTGTACGACACAATGAGCAAGCAGCGAACTACGATGCTCATTTTACAAAATTTTCGTTACTTTAGGTTGTGCACAAATAGATTTGAGATAAACTTACCACGTCTTGTGTTTATTACTTTTCTCCTAAAACCTTGATTAGCATACGTAACTTACCATCGAGGTCAACAAAGAGCGATTTGTCAACGCAGTGTCACAGTTAGCGCAAGAATACAGCCGAGTTCCTCCAGGATGGTCAAGAAAGATGCGACCCATAATATGAGCTGTCCTTCGCTAAACAAGAAACCCGAAATGCGTGGAAAATAGAGTATAATTACGCCAATTGTTTATCGCAAGATATTTTTGCCGCGAACCCTGTCGACCTGCTTTTGTTTTCAATGTTTTGTTTTGATATCACGTGTCTAAAAGGTGGCACAATAAGACAGACGTGATTGGCTTAAACGCAATGATGATGTCATCATGTCATCAGCTATTTTACATGATCTTGACGAAAGGATTTCCGGTTTAAAGTCTTTCCGGTTTGCCCTTCTTGCAGGTGACTTACACGCGAAAACTCACGAGACTTTGAGAAACGAGCACGACATCATCTCGCTCCCAAAGGTGCATCAATAAAAAAGTCTAAATGAGCTTTCTGGCCGATGATCGTAATTGGTTCTTGAAAGACAGGAAGAAAAGCAGAATAAGTTCCAAACGACGGAAACAAATTGATTCATTTCCAAACAAAAAACCACTGTCGTTCCCAGACTCCTCCACGTCTTGAACACACTGCACGTGCGTTGACGTGCGCTGGCATGCCTAGCAACGGACTATATTTTACGGGTGCGTGGGCTGGTTGCAACGCAGGCTGTGAATATGAGAAAGCGAACGCAGAAAATCAGAGCATTATTACCTACTGGAGCAATTATCAAAAAGTAAGCTGCAGAAACCGTAGACGCGAGCAGAGGCTACATTTTCGCGGTATGAGCTGGCGTACGAAAAGCTACTTTTCGCACGCCAGCTCATACCGCGAAAATGTAGCCTCTGCTCGCAGGATATAAACAATACCGCCAGCTACGCAGGCTAGGATATAGTAAATAAAGAACCATTTTGTGAATCTGCTATCTGACTACATAGTTATTGCTTTAATTCATTTTTTTATTTACCTTGAGGCTAAAAATTGTGGGGTGTCCATAATATAACTGAGAACACATTCACCACATGCTTACATGCACTTGGGGGTTTTATAATATAAAAAAATTTATTTATCAATAAATACCACAAAGGGGACAAGGTATTATACCATTTACAGTGTATGTACCATCTATATACTATGCAATATAAATACAAAAGCATACAATACTAATAATAAGTGTCCTATGCTGCATAATCTAAATATTTACAAAAATCCATATTTATTGTGGCACTTAACAATTAAGGCAGAAGCGACAACCTTGAAGAAAGTAAATTAATGAAATTCTGATCCTGAATGGGAGTCTGCTGAGTCAAGCACATAAATAGCTAGGCTTTTGTACATTGTGCTTTTACTTCCCCACCAAAATGCTCCACCTTAATGTTCCATTTTTCCCACTAAAATGCTCGGTCTCCCCAAAAAAGTCACGAAAATGCTCGGATAATGCTCATTATACAAACGGTTTTTTAAATTAATTTTAAAGTTTACACTTACGAAAACGTGCAAGTGTTGCAAGTAACAACGGCAACGTGTACAAGTTCATAAATACAGCCAAAAGAAACAGCTGTATTAGGTTTTTTGTGAATTTTGAGTTTTAGTCTTCATTTTCTTGAAAAAAGCAGGAGCTCATGGGGCATGGGCTCCTGAAGAAAGTTAATTTCTACTTTATTTTCTCGGAAAAAATTAATTTTCCAGGGAAAATGCCACTAAAATGCTCGAATAATGCTCAATGCTTTTGCCTCACTAAAATGCTCGAAAAAATGCTAGCATAATGTACAAAAGCCTATAAATAGCTAGGGCCACAAATATTTTGGTGAGTGGGCTGACTTGATGAAACAGAAACTCTTATACAGGTATAACTAACATTACTGTATTTCCACATTGAAATCCCTCATATATTTACTTCAAACTTAGTGTTGTGGACCTGGCATTTCTTTAATACTGTGTGCTATTTGAGTCTGAGGTTTACTAGGCTAAAGGCTAAAAAATCTCAACAGCTGTTTTGTCATACCATGAATAAATGCTTATAGGAAGAAGGTGCTTTACAAGTCTTGTAACATTACTTTTATACCTCCCCATTTATTCAGGGCATGGCATTAAATTGAGAAAATATGCTATAATTTTAGTAAAAACTTACCCAGTATTAACATAATTACCATTTTCAGTTGTCTGTTTGAACCAATGTGCCCTTACATTGCCTTATTAATAATTCAACTACAATTTTTACATATTGAAGCATTATAAGTATACTGTCAGTCACCAATTTCTTCAATTCCTTCACTTTCTGTGACCAGTGCACGCTCCAGGATCACTTGACCCTCCTACAAACAGTAACAGTATGCATTAAGTAAATAGTAAGTAAATCTGGGAAAATATGAATACAATCGTCAAATCTTGTAGGACAACATGACTAAAATCAGAAATGCTGGTTGCTTGATGGCAACATACAGTTCACCTTATATTGCTGGCTCTCCTCAGTTGCATATTCCTGCATTCAACACAAAAATTTAAAGTTTGAAAGAGCAAACGAAGCTTGAAGAAAGTTTGTTTGAAAGAAGGGAGTTACTGGTAACTTAGAACAGGTTTTGGTTGGGTAACATTTGACATAATTATACTACAGCCCTGATTATTCCAAATTTGGACTTCAATTTAAAAAGGATTTTGACGACATCTTCAGAAAAATTTACATAATTTGCTATCGGAACCTGATTCACACCTTCAGTGTCCCGTGACGTCTAGTGATGTTTGCATACTTTGAAAAAGCCTGATAACTTAGGTAACTTGTGTATTCGCTGCCGGCCTCCGATTACCTCCGCCATTTTGTTCAGCTCATTCCTCCTCATGTTAGTGACTTGTCTCAGATTCCTTTGAAAAAGACTGATAACTTAGCTAACAAGTAAAAACTTGCAAGGGGTGACAGGCCGCACATCTCCACTGGCATGAAACCTTTGGAAACCTTTGACATATTGCTCCAGTGAGGAGAACTTTTTCAGAGATTTTACACTTTTAAATTTGAACCATGATATAGCTTCTATATCACAGACCAAGATATGGCTCGGTACAGTTTATGTTCAGCAGGGGAAAATTGTGCAAGTTGAGCAGAACCTTTAATGTATAACAGACAATGTATTCAGGTCACGCGTATTCCTGTGAAATTGTTGCCCATTTATAGGATATGTCTAATCAAAGTTATAATATAATTTTCCATAGCTGCTGTTATCTTAGGTATCTGCTTTTAATATCTCTACATACAGTTTTAGGTTAATGCTATCTCAGAGTACAACGTTCGGCTGCACACAGCACGTATTCTTTAAATATAACCAGATCTGACAAAATGGATATCGGCATCTTTCTTTGTCGAAGGAGCACTATTTTGTGAAGACTAGGATGAGTCAATGAACACGCGGGGGAATGAGCCGAACAAAATAGTGGAGGCAATCGGAGGCCGACAGCGAATACACCAGTTAGCTAAACAGGAAGTCAAATCTCTAATTGTCATTATTATTACTGTCCTTTTATGGGGGGTCCGTAAAGTTGGATCTGTAAAGCAGGGGTCTGTTGACCAGTCCGTACAGTGCTCCCCCCCCCTCTCCCCTGGATCGACCCATACAAGTTGGCAGCATATATAGTTAGGTATTTTACACAGTTAACCCTTCCCTCTGTCCAAAAAGGATGAAGGAAACAACAACGAGGAAGGAAGGGGCAGCAATTTTTGGTTTCCAGTAGGACTGCTTTTTTAAGGACCGTTAATTACTTAATCAAAAATTAATAAAATTCTGTTCATCACATAAGTCATCATGTACAGTGTTAACTAATTTCTTAGTAAGGGAACAATAACAGACAATAAAAGAGGTAAAAAATCTTCATTAGGACTTAAATTTAAAGCTAGGATTTTTATTTACACTTACATACATCCACCCTAACTTGGTGTCACAGTTCTTGCAAAAAACATCTCTGACCATATGTCTTCCAGTAAGCTACAGCAAACAAAAAATGCTAATTATGCATTAAATAACACAGATAATCATAACTATAACAAAATTCTCAAATCTGATTGGTTCTCAACTGCCCTGATTTCAGCCTTAATAGGACAGTTTAATAGGACAGTACGCGTCATGCCTAAGTAATTGGACAGTACACGCCATCACGTGCGCGCTTAAATGGCTTTTTTTTTTCATTGCTAGCGAAAAAATCTTGGAATTTCTTGCGTTTTGATTTAAAAAGAGCCCTATATATCACAAATTTTGTTAAAGTTATGATTAATTGGTAACAGAACTTCGTGTCGTCCAATTCGGTCTGTAATCATACTCGTGATTAAACAAATCGGACTCCCGCTACGCGGTCGTCCGATTTTGTTAATCACTCGTATGATTACAGACCGAATTGGACTCCACTCAGTCCTGTTACCATTAC